TCGTTAAAAGTTGAAAAAAACATCAAAAACTTATTTAGTATGATGACTATTAGTTGTTAAACGCTATGTACATTTTAACAGAATTAGAAATGATATGTTACTGTTACAACTTACATCAATGAAACTTTTTAATTCTGGTTGGGGGCCCTCGGCACGTGCCCCATGTCCACATGTCCATAGGGTAAAGATTTTAAGGGAAAGATTTCCAATGGAATGTTAATTTTGTAACTTTTTTTTCTACAGAAACGTCTAGTCAATCGATTCTGTCCAACCTATGCTGATACTTTGGCAGTTCATCGACTTTACACCTGACATTGATAATTTTTTTTTCGAAAGGGGGGTGACTTTTTTAAAAACTTAAGGCTGTACTATTTATGTTATGTACAATATATTTATATATATATATGCGTGTGGGTGCCACGCTAATTTTTATGGAACGCTATGACTCCAAACACATATTGCATATTATTGTATACAACATGAAAACGTGCAGCTTTGGTATAATAATTCTCTCCAAAAATCGTTTTTAAAACCCTCGGACATGGAGACTATTCCGTTTTCACTCTCTAGGCGAATCGATAACATCGCCGCAAGTCGTAATTTATATCGTCAGGCTCTCCAAAAATATTGTCGTCGAAGATTCCATACCAACGGTTGAAAGAGTTATCGCATTGTGTTTGAGGGATTTTTGAACATCAAAAACCGATTAAAACCCAGAGTACGCCTTCGGACGGTATACGATTTGCGCGAAACGTTAACATTACAATAATATAATAATACGGATATAATAATGTCTTTGGAAATATAATATTACTTATCATACACAAATTGAACCGAATACTATAATTTTTTTAATAACCCAAGTTGCGATGTAAATTCAATTTATCTATTAGAATGAGTAAAATTGAAAACGCGTAAATCGTGAGAAATAAATAAATTGTCGCGTGAAAAAAATAACTCAGTGCCCCATGGAATAATAATGATTGGAAGTGACGCGTTACATCCGTTCTAGTTATATAGACTGCTGCAGCCTACAATTCGAACCTCCGTACAACTTCTGTGAATATATGATGGTGTATAATGTTATGTACCCTGTACAGATTTATTCAATCGGACAATGAAATCGAAAACGATTTGTATTTTCCAACTCGACATTATATTATCATTCCTCTCGACCGAATCGGACGAATTAGGTCGAGTATACTATTATATACGCGACAATAACCCGATTGAAGTTTTTGTTTGTTTTAATTACACATTATAATGAATGAACCATAGCACACATGACACATATATACATATATTATGGTGAATTGAAATATATATAATATATATATAAACAGAGAGGTACACCTTTTTTCAATAAATTAATCAGTGAATAGTTTTATACATGTTGATAGATTAATATTAATCAACAAAAATGTTCAAGTCATCATAGCCCCCAATCTTCATCATCATGGATCTATTGTTCTCATAGTGACACAAAAGTAAATAACTCAAAAACTAGTCGTGAGCATGTTTGGTACCTTGTATACCTACACGACTATACTATAAGTTTTGTGTGTGTGCGGTTTTTAAAAGGGGACTTGTAATTAATTAACTTTGTGCCCACCCTCGGCATAGCAGTAGTGTGCATCAGCGTCCGATTATCGCACCACACATGATGGTCTTATGATAACTATTATTACGACATAAATCCAAATTCGGATATACTCAGTTATATGTTTTTTTTTTTTATAAATATTAAATTAGCAAAATATACACAGCATATTTTATAGTTTACCAACGTAAACGTCGATTTTATAACGCAAATTAATTATATTATAAAATAATAATTTATTACGCGCGTGGAGTGTCCGTCCATTTTCTTTTGACTGCTTTAACACAATGGTTCTATCCAAAACAAATTGGATTAAGTGAAAATATATATAAAACAATTTATTTTTAAAGGGGTGTTGGAGGATAAATTAAAAGTTGGGAGTTTAGCACTTGCGTGAATCGCTATTATTATATATTGTCACCGTCGTTGGATTTTATCATTTATATTTGACATACGAACGAGCGARCGCACATTTTTAACGACATGATTAAAATGAAAAATAAATAAGCGTCGTTAAACTGTTCCCGTTTACGTCTGCTGAAGTTACACATACGTATCTGATCATATCATAACATACTTTTATTACGTGCAATGGCGTACAAAATAATATTCGTATACTATCCGTAAGTATATATTATTATTATATATTGATGCTAGTGAATGTTAAAAAAAGCAGCGCAAAGAATTTTATTCGTTATGTGTTTTTTTTTTCAACGAATTCGGCGTTTGTGTAATATTAATGGAAATCGAGTCTCTACAAAAGTATTCCGAATAATAATAATGAACGACAGTACCGTGTTACAACCATATTATACCTTGCCGAGCCATCGTCATCGTCGCGTTGGGAAGATTATATATATATACATATATTTATTATTTATATTATACATTTCAATGCATATATTATCACGTGATTAATCATTTTTATTTTTAAAACTTTCTGATGGTTAGAGCACAAAAATTATAATACTTTTAATGGATTTCGCGAGAATCAATACGACAGACAAAAGCTGAGTTATTAAAAAAATAAAAATAATAATAATAATTTTATTCCAAAAAAAAAAAATATAAAGTTTTTTATTATTTCATATAGGCGCGCCTGCAGTTCGGTCGTCTTTCGGTTAGTCCGCCGTGTCTATATCGTTTCTTTTTGATTTTCTATTCGTTCTTAAACACATTATTATGTTTTGAATAAATATTCCACGTTGATTTTCTTTTATTTAATGCGTGCGCGCAATAATAATAATAATAATATTGTGTTATGTTTGCAGCCCGAACAGAAAATGTGTACACAATAAATAATAATAATAAAATCCGATCAGCCACAAGATCTTTTTTACGCAATAAATCGTGGCTCACAAGTGTTGAATAAAATTCCGTTTGTTTGAATATAAATATTGACTTGTTTGATTTAAATCGTCAGTTATATAACATTTCTGATATTATTATTGTTTTAAACGTTTTATTTCGTAGCCGAGTATAATATGATCCACGCTGTAGCCCGTGTGATTAAATAGTCAAACGAAAATTTCATTGACGTTGAGAGCTCAGTTTTTGTTTTTTTTTTTTCACTTCTATCAATTTCAAAATAATAATAATAATGCCGTGTGTAAATAATATGCTTATCGCGAACGTTTTATTCTATTTTATCTTACCATCGATCCGGCGAAGCACAAACATTTAATACAATTATTACGCGAGAACTATTATTGCTATGAAAAATAGAAACAATAATTTATTTATTAAATCGCAAAAACATTTTCTCTATTTATATGTATGATATGACGTCAAACTATATTTATTTTCGGTTAACTCCGCAAAATTGAATCCATTCCTATTATTATGTTTGTACAATAACTATTGTTCACGGCGGACTCTACAACAACAGAATAATAATATTAAGTTGGCAGAAATTGTTTATTGGTTGTCACTAAACCTTCTACATAACATAATATTAAAAATTATAATATATAATATATACTTATAGTGTTCACTATATAGTTACATAATTGGTGCGATGAAAATATGCATTTTCATCACTTTTAACCCMCAAGGCAGTAGTTTTAATCACCCTGCGCGTTAAGTATAAATCAATACACCTACTTAAGACTTTTGGAGTATGTATCTGAATATTGTTCTTTTAAGGGTACTCTTTGCAGGTAACTTTTTTTTTTTTTACATTAGAATATCATCATTATCAAGATTCAACAAAATAATGATTCACCGTATTATACAAGTGTGAAGTCGAAACGACTGCATAATAATTATAATACTAAAACATATAATATGAAGTATAATTATTTATTTTTGAAAAACCTGCGAATCGTAAATACGTTCTATTTTAGACGGATTTGTATCCGATTTATAATTTAATAMATTTAAAATGCGTGAACACAATATTATTACGCTGTTGGTCAAATAGTACGAGGATTAAAATATATTATCAATATCACTTTTAAATGATCACTCTCATTGTTCTTAGTTGCTGCATAATACCTATACAAAAAAAATATAACGAGTCTGATAAAAATGATAAAAGCTATAATTATGGTAGGTATAGTAGAGTAAACCGAACGCCTCCAAACCCCGTTCTTTGAATGTGATTATATTTGTTAGGAATGAATACGATTCCTTTCGAATTTATAACAATATTAATAAATTATAATGACTCGCACCACGCGTAGATCATAATAATATTGTTTTTTTTCGACCGTTTTGTATTTTATCACGAAATTTTTAATTATGTTAAAAGTGTATAATTAAAAGAAAAATATGTTTAAGTATCTGAAACAGCTGTATAATATATTATTCCCTCTATATGCACCGACGTAGTATTACATATCTGTAATTAAACATTTTACAAAAACTCGGTACCTACTTTTAATTTAATTAATACAATAGGTTTAACAGATAAACAGCTATGTGTATAATTTTTGAACGCGTAATTGAAAATGTTATTAGTTTGGTAGGTACTAGTTTGTTATAATATAGACTATAGAGGTACCTATATTATGTTTACTTGGCCTTTTCAATTCGAAAACGCTCTGAGGTTATAATATAGTCGTTGCCATCGGATGTGTCATCTAAAGCAAATTAAAGTCAACCCTTACAATTTTCGACCTATATTCAACGACGTAGTAACTCCGTAGGAGCGAGGTATTAAATGAACACGTGGCACGTTCAAGTTCTATTTTATGTTTATGTACGTCGTTTTTTTTTTTTTGGTCCGTGGAAAACTAACTTTCCGAAAACAAATATTGACATTTCGTGTGTGATGACTTGAGAAACCACGAAAGGAAATATCATAAACGATCAACCGTGTCTCTATCGCTATTTTTTTATATATATCTTTTGCAGTACAATTTTCCAGTGGTTTCAATGGTTCAGATACCTATTGAAAATGTATTATCCTAAGCCCGAAGTGAGCGACAGTGAGTGAAAGACTTATAATCATCTATATATTGACCTTATAAAATTATTATATATACTTATTACATACATATACATCTACTCTGATAGATAACATAAATATATGATTATTATTAGCCTTATTATATTATACTCTGCTCAAAAATATATTTTTAATATTCCACCGTGCCTACATATGATTATCATAGTTATATGGATCCGTTCCAGGCTTACCTGTTCGAAAATAAAGTATTAATATTTGGTACTCCGAATCCTTAATATTTTAATTCACTTTTAAAAACTATTCATAAGCCTAACTAGTAACTACCGGATACAATTACAAAAAATAATTCGCAATAAGCATATAGGAAGTTCAATAAGTTTGAAAAATAAATACAAAACGGTTAAATCATCGTTTAGGGCATCTTTCAATATAGGCGTCCACTCAGTCCAGTATAGGTTATACCATTGTTGCAACAATAAACAGTTAGTGTTTATTATTGCAACACTAATTTAATTTTTTTTTATTTTTTATATTATATTTGTTTAAATACATACTCATTAAATTTTTGGAAAAAAATAATATCTAAATTAATTACTGAAGCAGAATATTTTCGAATAGTATTATTACACTAATATGTCACATACAACTCAGATCGTAAACAACAGCTTATATTGGTTCAATTTTCGCAGTCTGCATAACATATATCAATTTTTATAAAAAATATTAAGTTTTGAAATTCAAAAATTATGTACTTTCAGGATAATACTCATAATACCCGTTTGTAGTTAATACTATTATTCGAACATCGCAATATACGTATATAACAGAATAAGATGGGAAGGGTTCGATCCTCGACCATTGGGCAGCATTTTTCTCCGGGCAAGTCATGGTGTCCGGAGAACAAGTACCGCCATCCCCCACTCCGGGGCATGGCAGAAACCTACGGGTGCCTCAATAGAAATTCTGCCAAACAGGCGTCCGGACTAGGCCTACGGGCCTACTCCCAGACATAGCGCCATACGAAAAAAAAAACAGATTAAGAAATTATTCGAAAAAATTACTATTTAAATAATCAAATATCAATTGTACTTATTGATTCAAATAACCATCATGTTTGAAAATTATTATCAATAATTATTTTGAAAAACATATACCCAACTTTGGCTCATAGTCATAGATAGTTTATAATTTATATGCATCGCTATTTCTTATGTTCTCTGTAGTGTTGCCGACGTACGCGTCAATATCCATATCGTCGTCATCGTCGGATTTCACGGGTCCGTCTTTTTTGTTGGAGCCTCCAGGGAAATTCGAGTTCTCCAACACGACGGGTGCGTGGATTGATTGCACCGCTGCTGGACATCCGGCCCCGCACATCCGGTGGCTGATGTCCGATGGGACGCCCGTGCCGGACGTTCCGTCGCTCCGACAAGACATGTCCAATGGCACACTGGCTCTATTGCCGTTCCCGCCAGCAATGTACAGACAGGACGTGCACAGCTCCGTTTACCGATGCTTAGCCACCAACGATGTTGGAGCCATCGTCAGCCGTGACGTACACGTCAGAGCTGGTAAGTTAAAATATCGAATTTGTAAAATCATTGGTTCACATTTTCGAGTTATTTTCGGTTAGTTATTAGTATCGTCGAAAAATTACTACTGAGGAGGCTATGAGGTTATATTATAGCTTTATACGTCTTATAGAGACGAGAGACACGTAAAACTTGGAAATAGTAGGAAATATATCTCCAAAAAATATTTTTTAATTTTTATTTATGTATCTGATCATATAATATAATTCAATTTTGAACCATCTATCGAGAGAAACCAGTTTAGAAACTTGTTTGAAAATACTCGACGAGTAAATTATGTTTTATAATATAGGTACATATTATGTTAGCATAATAATAGAATAATACTATATAAGCAATATATAAAATAATTACACCCCTCTTCAAATAATTTTTATTTTATAGATTTATTTTCGTTCGCACACATCAACATATTGTAGACGGAACATAAATTAAATGACGAAATGAATTAAGTTCAAAACCTTTTATCGTTTCACACTTAAAAACACGTAGACTCTATAGACATTTTATATAGTGTTCATGATCATGTACATTTACTTCATAAATTGAGAATTTTGAGTCAAAAAAGTTTCTTTGTGTACCTACTGTAAAAGCATTGAAACATATTAAGCACGCTTGTCAATCACATTAATGATTATTGCGCTGAATCCGTTTCGCAATGTTCGCAATTCAAATGGACAGTGTAAACCTCCAATACTTTGAACCATTCCGTATTTCTGCTACAAACAAACATATTGTCCAATAAATCTAATAAATCCGCAAATCAATAATTTTTATTAGAGAATATTATGCAGTCTATACACCAAAGCATACTAAGAATATGTGCTACAATATTTAGAAAAACAAGAATAGGGTGAGAAAAAAAACCATCCAGTAATCGCATTTCCTTTTGCTTAAATATATTTGATATATATATATTTTTTTATTTAATTAATTATTATAATCATTATTTGTTAATCATTATGATCTCTCCAGTATTTTCTTTTTAGACGTCACAGGGGATTTCCAGGAATTGTATGAGTCTAGGCCAGATATTTGAGGGTTAGAGTGAGAATGCAGTTTGTGAAAAACATTACTAGTACGTTTTAGATTCTTCATTAACGGTTTTGATATTTAAGTCAGAATGAAGGGTACAATTAGAAATATAAAATGGGGCATTGGTGATGGAGCACAGTATTTTGTTTTGAACGGTTTGTATTTTGTTAAGATTGGATTTTTTGGCATTGCCCCAAAATTGTAGACCACATAGGCTTAATTAAAAATTAAAAATGAGCAGTTTTATATTTAATTTTGTATGTTTTTTTGATAACAATATTTTTAGCAACCAGGCACGCGCATTTAACAAATCAATAATTTAAATTTAAAACACCATTGTCTGTTGTTGTGGTAGTTTTTTCGGAATTTTTTTAATGAGATGTGACTACTCACATATTACAATTTAAGTTATAAAAGCTGTTGTACCAACATAATATATAATAAACTTATGATTTAAAATATAGATTTAATATATATTGGTACTCCTCCAATTTGTTATCTACCGTCATTTTATGTTGGTGAAATATGATATCAACACGTATTTAAGTGTAAATTGTCTCACCTTTATGATGCAGAATTTCTTCTTTGTCATTTTTTTTATACTGTGTAGTTATGTATACGTATTTCTGATCGCTTCGAGGAATGATTTGAACAGGTCTTCAGTTGGTTTTTGTATCAAGCGCCTTTTTTTGCACTCTTTTTTTGTACATCTATTATAATTTTTTTTCAAAATATTACCTTCCGAATCACGTTTTCAGCTAATTTTTATAACTTTTTTTAACTCACCACCACAAATTGTTTGGTTTTTAATTTGTGTACATGTTTGGTCGATTGGTATTAAACCGCGTATGCTTAAAAAGTTTTCGCACATCTCTTCATTTTGAATTATGTTCGATGTAAATAACTCATAGTTGAAAAACTCATAATAATAATAAATAAATCACAGTAAAACCACGTATTTATTCGACATGACACACAAACACACACTAAACAGGTATAATATAAAAGTATACCTACTAACATACCTAACTTACTAAGGTATAAATATAATAACATTTGGGGTTTCAATAAAAACTTAATCTTAAATCTTAATTGCAAAATAATAAAGTATTTATAATATACAGCATTCTGACATCGGTAGATATCATATTAAACTATCATAAAATTACGGTAGATAGCATATTGTACGAGTACCTATATGTATATATTATATAATTGTGTAAACTAAATATCTTAAGATAATAATGAATATTATATGATATTTATAAGTATCAATGGTTCATCGTAGAGTAGAGTAGATTGGAGTTTTACATTCAAAATAAAACAGTGTTATTTTTCCAGGATTATTTTACAACCTATCTTTTACAGGTAATAATAGTCTTTTCGATTAAGAAAAACTTATAAGATACATTGAAGGGGTAGTGCACATAGGGGAGTATGACGCCCTATCGAGATACCTCTCTTTCACCCCAATACGAACGAGGCCACTGGACACTGTTGTTGTATCACATAATATAATTTACATAATAATATAAATTATGAAACAATTGCAATTTCTTTGGTTTATGCAGTCATATCTCAGTTTAACTGTACAAGCGAATGACTCTGTACATGCATAATATATACACTGTATATTAACTGTAGCGTATCTAAATTTCTCCAAAGTTTATACTTTAGATTACCTTCTATAAACGCATGTCCTACATGCAAATTTATTCTAACGTGTACAATTCATAAGTCATCAATGTGAATATTAATGTCATGTGACAAGTTAAATTTAATAGTTGACTGTCGTCTCGCCATCATATTATCATAAAATAATATAATATGTTCAATATAGTTAGATGGAAGATATTATAATATTATAAATGTTACCTTCATATCAGCAATGCCGATTTATAATGCAAAGTGGCACCACAAAATAGTTCTAATACATACCTATTACCTATATATTAGGCTGCTTATTGTAGCAGTATGATAGAAGTTGCGGTTACAAACGAAATCATTGAACACTAAATATTTCTTTTTGGTGGTATTTGAAAAACAGAACATTACGTTTTTGGCAGATTGTTAATTATCCCCGAGTTTGGTATTATGGTAATCGTTGTAGTGTTATTAAATACATTTTTCATATTATGCCTACAATCTACATCTAAACGGATGAAATATAGTTATAAAATAGATTATTGTGGGTGAATATTATTATTATACAGAATAATGTTGGWAGAGAGTAAGTTCAATAGACTTCAATAAATGTAATTTAAAAAGCTAAGTACAAACATGTATAATTTTTTATCATAAAAGTAAATATAACGAAGTAATTTTAAATTTGCAAATGTGTATTACATTTTTTACACACGTATATAATATACTGTAATGAATAACGTTCAATTTTTTTATTCGTTAAAAAMTGTAACATAGTTTTAAGTATTTATTTTTAAGTTTTGTAAGCCTCATTTATTAATTTTCCATAACAATGGGTAAGTATGTAGGCCACTGTCAAGCTCTGTTCTCAAAGGTTATCTTTCTGAGAAAACGTATAGGTATAAGTAAAACTAACCACATTCTATGCACATGGTTGCTTATCATACATTGCAGACTATAAACACGAATATTCAGTTTTGAAAACATTAACACTTATAAAATATCAACGTACACATTTTTGCAAAAATAATATTTTTTCAGAGAATTAAGGGTTTCAACAGAATAAAATCAATTTCAGTGTACTTGTATACAATATTATAAAACCACCGTCGCGTATAAGATTTTCAATAAAGTTATTAATCATTAGGTATTTAAATAATTACAAAATTATAAAATTAAAATAATTAATAACTGTCTTGAAAATATAAGTACTAAACCTTCATTAAAAAAAAAGCTTCTACTAAGGCACGAACGGCGTTTTCCACAACGTTTATAACGACCACCGAATGGCCACCCATAGCCATAGGGTAAATATATTGATATTTAAATTTCCACCATGAAATCATTATCCGAAAAATTTGTAAATTGGTATTTACTGTGCGGCCGTATCATATATAGTGAAACAGGGCATGATAGCTGATTTTGTTATAGCATACTTTTGACGTCTAAGCTGACTAAAATACATCATACATTTTACGAGGCTTTTTTTTCTGTACATTTCGCCAACGCCATCGCCATGAAAATACCTCTTGTTTTTTTCTTTTATTGAAAATTAGGTTTTGGTACCACTGTATAACTGTTAATCATTGCGCGTATTTTCCTTTATGACTTGAAAGTTGTTTATTAATGAGGGTTTGCAAAACACACGTCCGCGTAAATCCTTTGCTGTGATTGGTTGCAGGTTAGGTAAGGTTACCATATGATTAACAACGTTACCGTGTTGTTAGAAAAAGATGAACATTTTACGTGTACACGCCGGCACACGCGTATGGTGGAGACCCGCTGGCCGTCTTTATGATTTGTCCCCACTAAAAATCGTTTGTGGAAATACCAGATACACCTGAAGTTATACCAATTTATTTAGTTTATTGTGCTTCGTGAACAATTTCAAAGACATGAAATAAGATGCTATAATATTATGGCGGTGACGATTTCTTAGACAAAGGCGTGTAGTCAATTTCAATTTTTTTGCGAAAAGTAAAAACCACACAGCTGTACTATACACAACAACATTCAAAAAACCGTCATAAATACATATAAATAACAAGACAGGTATATTACGAGCTAAAATATATGACGTACGATAGATTTGAATCATAATTATTTTAAAATGTGCCATGAATGTATGTATCTCGTGGTTCCTATGTGTTTTTTTTTAAATATAAAATTACACCGAAATAATCGTTTTAATAATAATGTTACGTCATGAATCATGATTGCATTAATGTTTATTGTGATTTTAGTTGTGGCTCAAGATTACAACCTTGAGGTTCGCGTGGTAAACGGAGGATCTGCCAAAGGATGTACTGCTGTATTGGAATGTGTGACACCGACGTTTATGAAAGATTTAGTCAAGGTTGTATCCTGGCTTCAAGAACCAGGATTCTATATCTACCCATCGTTGCAAGGAGGTTGGTACTAATTTAATGTTATGAAATAATCGTTAATGTTGTTGTCGGTGATGCACTAGTACAAATTTCATTGTAGTTAACAGTAATAATAATTATTATTATCTGATTAACTCATTGACATTTCGCGATATGAGTTCTGTGCATAATATGTAATTTTTATTAGTTAACAGATTATATTAGTCGAATGATAATATAATGTCAACTATTTTGTCTTGATAGTTGATATCGATTGATATTGAAGTACCAATCAAATAATTAGTTACAAAATATAACCACTGTAAATACAATTGTAAAAACATCTGGCTTTCGATCTTATTTTTTTCTACCCTCGACGAGCTAAAACATTTGCAAACTGTTTTGATATTTAATTAACTATACTTACTTTTGTCTATCAGCATATTTTATACAAAATTCAAATATAGGTAATCAAAACGTTCGACTAACTTTAATTTAACCCTTTGATTATTATAATAGGTAAACTTTTCTTGTTAATTGACCGAACTTATATCCCTCGATGTTTATTTATTTTTATTCGTATAAAATAATTTATTTTCTTCAAAAATTTCGGAGAAAATATGAAGTTTACCCATTTATTTTATCTTTAGATACTCGTATTAATGAATGGATAATTTTTATAACGTTTTAAGTATAATCCGTAGATATTAACAAGCGTCGCGATCGTATCTATTTTAATTAGTTAGGTATTTTATAAATTTTTATCATAATTTGATATTATCTTTTTCTATTATCTATAGTTATATTGTATATAATTATATTTTGTAGTTGTAAAACTTATAATTAATTCTATATATTAGTGTGGTACGTCAAAACCTTTTTCGCACTAGTCAGATGAAAACTTTCTAACTGGTAGAATTCATGCTTAGTTTTCCGTGTGTTAAATTATACGAGCTTTACGAAGAAATGGCGTTTTGTAATTTTTAAACAGTTTGTGTTGCAGATTTATTATTATAGGTGTAATATATATATATAACCTATATATTTCGACGTGTTATTATTAAATTGAAAAATACCGATTACGTTGTATTTATATTCATGATCTCCCTATACAGTATACATATAATATAATATTATTTGTGTTTTATACAATTTTTTTTTATTTAAAATTGAAATATAATATAATAGTATATATATAGCTTAACATTTTTTTTTGATTTCCCTACCTACTTCCTATTAACGTATAACTTGTATTGAAAGTAGATAGTTAATAGTAATTAATTCAAATTCACATACCTAAGTGATTATAAGATAATACATGACAAAAAAATAATAGATATTAATAAGTCGTTATAACAATAAGTAATTTATTGAGGTAAAATTAATTGACTTCTTTTTATTATAGTAAAGATAATGTAAAAACCGTCAGGAAATACATTTTATAATATACTGCAATATTTTTTTTTTTAATAAATCTTGTTTTGTTTAATAATATACTAATAGATTAAATTGAATCACTGTGTCATTCATCAAATAGATTTTAGTCCATTAGGTAATGTAATAATAATTAATAACTATCTACCTATTAATTTATTGAAAATTCCCKTTAGTAAAATACTGCTGGCCGTTGACCTTACATTTTACAATAAATCAATATATGACCAATAATAACCAATATTTCACCCACGGTATTAAAACTTGATGAAATTAGATTATGATGATGCTGTTCATATCTCGTTTTTATGGATACTGAAGACTTATTCCGCTAAATATTTTTCTTCAGTAATAACATAAAATAATATTAATTCATTAACAACAACATTGATTTTACACAGACATACCTACTAACTCAGTCGAACTAATCGGCTATCAACTCTATTACACAATCATGTAACTATTTGAAATAATGTAACGTAATTTAATTGTAAATTAGTGTAAGTCAACATTATTTAAGTATACTCAGGTACCTATATAAACATAATATACACATTACTGTCACATACAATAATTGGGACAATTTATCTGGAGAATGGACAGTTGACACGCAATACAATATTCCATCATTTATCAATATAAATTATGTTAATTTACCACATTAACTGGATATTCACCAGAATACTAGATGATATAATGTAATATTACTGTATTTTCGCACAACATTATGATTAAGTGATGTGCATGTTTGTATAATGCGTATATCCGAAATATTCCACAACAGCTGTGCACTACAGCGACGCGTTCAGTTGTATTGAAATCGATTTACATAATTATAATATGAAATGTGTTTGGACAAAAAAAAACAGACAATCAGACAATTGAGTGATTAAATATGAGACACTCGTTAACCGATAAAAATTAAAATCTAATAAGATTATTTGTTCAAATAATTACAACGGTTATACACAAATTTTTTTTTATTATATTTAATATGTTAATTTTAAAGATTATCGATTGTGTCGTCTTATTTTGAAAAAAAAACTCGTATATACAGAATCCGCTGTCTACTGTTCATTATAAAACTTACTTATCGATTCCATCAGCTTATAAATTTATAAAGTTGATATATTTATCCTCACCTATCTCCGTTTTGAAAAGTTACCAATTTTTGAGTCGTTTCCTCAATATGACAGTATTATTGTTATTTTTTTTTAATTTCAGACGGAAAATATCACGCGATGCACACTGGTGAACTGCTGGTTCACAATCTTGAATCGAGCGATCAATTCTCGTCTTATACGTGCCAAATGATGCACACTCTGACTAGAAAGTTGACGACCAGCACACCGGCCAACATTGTGGTTCACGGTAAGATTATTATGATTTAAAAATCCGCGACGGTGTAAATCGAGTGTTTTCGTTATCAATGGAACAAGTCGTGTATTGCGCACGGCGATATTATATAATAGGTGTACAAAAAAAAAAATTGTCTAGTTGGGAAATATGTCCGCCACCGGCGAGACACATGAACTCCAGTCGCAGTAATTATTATTAGCACGTGACCTGAAAACCAAAATAATAACATTGTAACCCTTTTCCGTAAAATCTACATGCCCTGTAGGCGTAACCATAGCGACCGATTGCTGTTAGTACCCGAGATTACATGGATGGATGGACATACAAAAGCACCGAACTTCCCGACAGTAACCGCCACCGCCACCGCTGCCGTCTCGAAGCAGATAATGAGAAAGATGTTACTTGTCCTTGCGTTTCATGCTCTAAAGATCATTTACTTAACCGGCTATTCCTGTGCCCGCAAGTGTCTCATCTGTTCTGCACGCTAATTAAAAACAAATATTTGTATGCGTTCCAGAGGCCGCGGGAAATGAGATGGTCGAAATCGTCGCTCACAAGAGTTCGGTCCGCGTTGCCCAAGACGAAGGTGCCGTGCTCACGTGCATCACGATCGGATGTCCACATCCTCATTTCAGGTACAAAAAAAAAAAAAAATCGTAGACACTGATAACAATAAGGCGCATATCATAAAAATGGTAGAATACAAATACCTGTTAACCATAGACTTATTATAAAACTATGGAATGTGTCGGTGGTATGAGCGTTGAATGAGAGAGATATCATACTTATATAACAGTTATCTCTTGAAACAATAATTGTTATATTAATATTAATATTCTAAATTTTTTTTATTATAAGGATTCATAATATACATCAATATTTGATGGTAAATTTATTTATTTGTTAAATTCGTAGCAAAGTAGTTTACCTTGTGTTGTAAGTTACTGCAAATGTATATCACAAACAGAATCAGAAATTAAAAATAACTAATAAATTATTTAACATTAAAATCTACAAACTGCTCTGAAATAAATTTCATTTTAAAATCTCTTTTAGATTATTTTATGTCAATCACCTAAATAGAAACTCATTTCTTCTCTTTACGCCTTAGCGCATTCTACGTATATCCTTATATTATAATGCCTATGCTATCAATACTGATTTAAGTACTTATTTATTTTGTCTTTTCATCAGGTGGTACCACGTACTGGATGAGAACGAACCGACACTATTGGAGACGGGCTTAGGTACTAGGGTGCTTGGTCAGGTACTTTCCATAGAAGCGGTCAGGCCAGAAGACGCGGGAACTTACAGGTGTTCGGCCAACAATGACGCCGGACAGACTAGCGCAGACACAAGACTAGATGTAGTTGTGCCACTTGAAGTACAGGTAAAACTTTGTTAATGTTCGATTGTAATCTAAAAATAGATCATAATAATTAATAAGAATAGTCTGATCATATACATAATACAGATGTGAGGTTTAGCTGAACCTTCATATTATCTAAGTACGTTTCAATTAATTTGGCTTCGTTTTGTGAGGTATAAGAAATAACAATGTCCATATTAAGACCTCAAAATTTCAATATCTTGTTCAAACACTAAATAAGCTTGCGTAAAAGTTACCACCTCTCACTTAGCTAAATAGTTTAAATTCCCAAATCCAGCTCATTAAACTTTTTAACTCTCACACTATCCCCAAAATCCTAACAGGTGGCTTAAAACTAAAGACTTAGGGTTTACTCCTCTAGCCTTGCCCAATTGACTAGATGATGTTGGTTTGCACTATACTGGACGTCTGAGGGCATACCCAATACCCATCTTTCATTACGATGATATAATAATTATTTTTCACCAAAATTACTTATTGCATCTACTTATATAAACTCGTATTATAGATAATATTATTACTTTTTAAATTAAAAAAATTGTGTTTTTTAGAATACTCAAACACAGTTAACTCTCTAAACAATGGTTTTGGCGTCGGGTAGACGTTGATTGGGAGACCAATAATTGGTGAATTATACGTTGTTGTTCGCCATACGTATATTGTTTACGAGAAAATAAAAAATTATAATTTTTCATCAATATATTTCGCACATATTATTTTATGTATAATATTCTTTGAAACAACTATAATAATCTCATTTGTCACATCCAAATGGTAGTAAATGTATGTTTGTTTTGGGACAACTGCGCGTTCATTCATGCGGAATAATATTTGTTTAATTCTTGCCGACAAACTTTTGTTCGTGTTGTCAAACAACTGTTTTTTGTTATTAAATCATGTTATATTATTATTGTTATTATGCAGTATTACGTCGATCTCTCGACATAATGACGCGTATAAAACTACTGTGCGTACGATTTATGCGTCCCGCAATTCAAAGCGTTGGATGTAACTCGTACGACCGAGTATTAGTGTCACAAATATGACTTTTCTGATGCTAAACCACGCGATTATTGTATAATGTTTAAATATTAGCCTGCCAATAGCTACTCTATAGTTATTATTATTTTCAATGACGTCTCAAAATAATATCACCAGGATGAAATATTGCAGCGGTGAATGGACATAATTTCGTGATGATGCGTTTAATTCAATATAGAACCAACTCGTGACAATTTAACCCCACCCAAACATACAGCATTTTTACCAATTCGATATATATATATATCACTTACTACAAACGCTAAGCACTTTATTATTAAATATGTTAATTATAGTAATAATAATGATAACATTTGATGACGTATTCAAATATTTATTATATTAGCATCTAGAAGTAAGTGTTTTGCTTTTACATATTATACAGCTCTTCTATGAACATAAATTACTAAGTTAGTTATGTGCCTATCCACAAACAATATAAAAAATACAGACTAATTGATTCGCAAAACTAATATTTATTTAACTTGGCATTTAAATTATTAAATTAATATTGAATTACGTAGAAGTGTACTTACCATACGCGTTTATAATAGTAAGACATTAAAACGAATGTGCATAATCCGTTTATTAACTTACGAACTGAAAAAAATGTAGTTTCTTACAGAAATTCAATTTTTAAACATAATTTAGTTCAGCAGAAATTTAAATAGGTTAAAGCCAAACTATGATTGGATGAAGTGTTGTTACTAAATAATTAGTGAATATTATTATCAGTAGTTACACAAAAAACGTCATTGCACCGAATTATTACGAACATTAATTACCATGATATTTCTTTATAAAAATACTTATCCTAATAATCTAACAAAAATATTAAATTTAGATTTTAATACCCTAATGGTACATTTCATAAAGCATAGTATAATATTATTCTACTTAAAATTGATAGAAACATTCACGAAATAAAGGTCTTCTATTCTCTTTTAAATTAAATTATTTTTGTCTATTGAAATATTAATAATGCAAAGTACACAAATAATGAAGTCCGTAAAAATTTTTTTATCATAAAATCAATACTCTTCGAAACAACAAATATTTCTATTCACACATGATTTTATTCTTAGTTTGAAATATTCATTTCAGATACCTAATACTCAATTTACTTTCAGTTTCAGAATATTTATCACATTTACGATATTTGATTCAATAATACGGTATTTAATTTGTATTAAATTTTTATTTAAATATTTTATCCGACAGTCATACGCATTACAAATTAAGATTATTTTACTTTGTATTTAGTTACGTATATCGACACTTGTATGTAGTATTGACATTTTAAACTAGTCATATCGTCTCAAATCTGTTCAATTAAAAAAAAGCTGTGAGTACGGGTATAAACTTTTTACGGAACGTGTTATATTGAAATAAAAATCTTTAAAGTTCATTTTTTAATAAAAACAAGTAATGAAAATGAATTGTAAAGATGATTTTAAATTAAATTTGAGGAAACACGCGCGAGCAAACCTCCTGTTGGGGACAGAAAGAAGAATGGGTTTTTAAACGATTTTCGAGTACACTGGCTTAATGTCACTATAAGTAATAACATTTTGTAATTTAACTTTTTCTCTTCCGTTTTTAATTTATAATATTATTCAAATTCGTGTTAAAATTCTTAACATTTAAAATTTAAATAAAACAATTTTTAGAATCATGGGAAAATGTCAATGTGCAAATAAAAAAATGTAATAACTAGTAGACACATCATCTTTATAATTTTATACTGTTGATTATTTTATACTACGCTTCTGCGCAATGAAAATATCATTGTAATAATATACGATATAATTATATAAGTCACTTAATACTTAATATGATACTATAAGTGTATACATTTGGGAATCGTTTTATACTCGATATTTGGCTTTCTGTATATTTACGTCTAAGTTTATAAATCTATTAAGTCTTACAAATCGCCACGATTTTTTAAATAAAGATTTTCTATTAGGTACGTAAAATATATAGTATAAAAGGTATACACTTTTTTTGATTGGTTGTTTGATAAAAACTTTTTTTTTTCACTGTGGTTTACGCGCACCGAGTGAAATATCGACGACTCTACGCCCCCGTTTAAAAAGTTGAATGATGTGGCTATCTCTTCGAAGATTGGCGTAATTACAGTTGGGGGTTTTCATTCGTTTTCTCGATAAGTTTTAACATTTTTGGAAATAATTGTGTTATGCCTTAAAATAACGTTTTTAAAAAAAATTCTATATTATTATATGTACAGGTACCTTTTATCGTTATAAGTAGCTATATAGTTTTTAAATTTTCTTTCCTTTCTGAACGATATCATGTATTTTTAATTTCATGTTCTTATGCAGAATATTTTTCTGGAAATTACAATTTTTAAAAATTAAATCTTGAACGAGTAGTCAAGTAAAATAGCTATTCAATGTCAAAACTTCTAATACTTATAAATATTTTGCAGAGTTGTAGATCAACATTTCCCAGGGATAACCGTATATTCTACTGCACTAAGTTCTTAAAAACTTTAAATAGGTTATTTTCTATTTATTAATTAATACTTACAACTCATAAATAATAATTTGTTTGAAATTTGGTTTTAGATTCTGAGCAAAGCGATGAATGTATTGATTTTACAATGTTGTGTGTGTGTGTGTTTTKTTTTGTCTGAGTACACGATAAGTTTTCGAAATAATGCTTCGATTTTAACTTCAGTTTTCGGGTGAAGCGTGAATCTAGTTGGTGCATTGAGGAGGTCAAATTTCCCAGAAGTTCAAAAGCACCGGGGATAAAAAAATCAATTATTGAGAAAATCGATTTTAGATATTGGTGTAACTATACTGTAACTCTGAAACAAATTACCGTAAACACATGCAATTTTCACTGAATATTCATACTAGAATTTTCTATATTTCATAACATTTTCAAAATATTTAAAATGTTTTTTTAAGTTATTTATAAACATTTGAAATTTTCAATACTTTTAGGTTTTTTTTATAAATGAAAATAAGATTTTATTCGTTTAGTAAAAAAGCTTCAAAATGTAATATAAGACTCTTAATATATTGTAACAACTAAAGTTAAAAATATTAAAAATACATCGTCACATTTTTTTAATAAGTATTGAAAGTTTGAATTTTGACAAAATACGTAAATATCACAAAAATTTGCAATTTATTTTGAGTTAAAAATTTTCAAACATTTATCTTTTTAAAACTAAGATTTGAAAATTCAATATAAGATTCTTCTTGAGTTTGTTTACTTTTATAAAATAAAAAATGTCTACCGGAAAGTCAAATTAAATTTTTATGAGCATTTGAATTACAATATTGGATATTCACTATATTTTTTTTGTACTGATATTCTTAATTTGTTGTTATTAAAAACAAATAACTATAAAAGTTTTAAATTTACACCATATGTTTATTTTATAAATTCCTTTACTTGATTTTTAAAAATATTTCAACCAATTTAAGTTATTTATAGACATTTAAAATTTTTCATTTTTTTTAGTTTTTTACTCTAGAAATGTCAATAAAATTGTATTCATTAGGTCAAAAATCTTGAAAATTTAATGCAAAGTTCTCTATAAGTTGGTATGATAGCAGTTTGAAAATTATAGAAATACATAGGTACATTTTTTTTTTTTAATCATTTAAAGTTTAAATTTTGACAAAGTTTATTTAATTGAAAATTATTAAATTGTTAAAAATGTATGAAACATTTAATTTGTAACCTAACCTTAGCTAAGGATTGAAAATTTAAAACAAGGTTCCACGTAAATTATTAATTCTGGGACAATAAAAATCTAAAAACTATACTCACACAATTTTTTTAAATAGTTATTTTAAGTTGAAATTTGGATGAAATTACATTATATTATATAATATTAAGAATAACAATTTTAGTCATATTTTTATAATTTAAAAACATTATTTGTGGGTACTTGAAATTTTTAGAGTATACTTTAT